GTCCGCCGCGTTCCCGTAGCGCTCGCGTACGCCCAACGCCGCCGCCGCCGCCGCGCTCTCGGCCGCCGGTACGTCGCTCGCCGCCGGACATACGCGAGCGCGCGCGTTTTCCCGAGTCCTCTCGCGTCCGTTCCGTGCGACGCTGTTCCGTCCGTCCCGTTCCATCGCGCGCGTTCCCGTCACCACGGCAGTCCGTCGCCGGAACGCACACGCTCGGCCGTTCGCGACCCGTTCCCGGCACGGTTGTTGACGTGTACCTACGGACAAACTGCGATCATTCTTTCGTTTTTCTCGGCGCATTCGCTGTCCGCTTTCGAACCTTCCTGGAGTTTTTTTTTTTTTTAGAGTTTATCCAACTCTTGTACCGCGGTACGATCTCGAAGCTTACCGCACATCGGTGTACGGTCGAGGTCGACCGACGGCGAAATTCGTGTTCGTGATCCGTTCGTATTTTTTATTTTTTGAACTCTTAAGTATTGCGTGCGATACGTGTATCGTGATCGTGTCCAAGAGGACGGGTGCAAAACTAGACTCAAGCTTTTTAACGGAGAGTTTAGGTCTGAAAAAACCAAAACGGTAAGGGTGACATTTGAATAATTAAACGGTAAATCTAATATTATGCAACGTAGCGGTCGCCTCAAATACCCGATGCGTGTCGAGGGTACCTAAACCGCGTTCGCGATGTGTAAATTCGTTTATTCTTAGACCCGACCGTTTTTATTTTGTATACTTTGTTAATTACGAACCGCAACTATATAATTTATTAAAAACGCTACTGCTCTCTCTTTCCGTTAAGCGAATTGATAAATTTTAATATTTATTAACCATCAGCGGTTCGACCAATCAATTCAAGCAATATCAATTCATTCGAATTCCATATAATAAATACATTTCTGATGGGCACGCGGCTGAACAATGTTTTTAATTTTCAACAGTAATTCTCTAGTTCATGCTAAGTATACGGCTTAACGGTTCAGAACGAATAAAACTTTTATTACTTCAAAAACATGTTACTCGTACAATTATTTCAAATATTAAGTTATTGCTGAGGAAAAAAATTAAACATCAACGTACACAGGTGTGTATAATTTAATTATTTTGTGAAAGTGGGTAGTCTTAACTTTATTCAATGTGCAGTTGATGAAATATTTATATTATCATACACCAAAACTATAAGAGACTTTTTAATTTATAATCGAGTACAAACATTATTCTTTTATAAATGAAGAAAATCATAATTTGGTGTTATTTAATTATGTTATCATATTTCAAATAAGGGTTTTAAATTTAATTTTGATTTAAAATTTCTGATAAATTTATATTATATTTTAGTATGATGTTCATTAATAACGTAAAATATGATTTTTAATTTTATCATATCTCAAATAATCAGTAAAAACATATGGACAAAAATATCACATAAATCATATAAGAAGGCACGTCGAAAATCTTAAACGTGTATTCATCAACGGGTATTTTACTTTTAAATTAATACTACGAGTGCGAATTTCATTTTATTCATCACAGATTATAAATGTTAATAATTTAATAAAAATATTACAACGGTTTTCTGCAAATCTCGTGATTTCTATTAATAATGCAAGTTTCAATTTTGAAATATATTTAATATTTATTTACTATGGTAGTATTTTATTTGTATTAATTTTTAACGAATTCTATTTAAATAAAATGACAAATTAATTGGTTAATTTAAACCGAGATATTAAGTTCTTTTTGTTTAATACTATTTATGTAAAAAACATTTACAGTCAAAATATAATATTCTGATTACTATTGTTATGTATATTGAAATTTAAAATATATTTTAATTTCCTAACGAATAGATGTCGTTTATCAAAAATTTTTCACGAGTGTTTTAGATTGAAATATCTGCATTTTTTTTACTAACTAGAGTCAAGTTAGTTTACGCATTCAAAACATTGATTTCGAAAAATACCTAAGTATCTATAAAGCTTATGTTTTATTTCATAAAAAATAAAATATCATATTTTGTTATGGTACCAAAATAAAATAATTTTGGATAAAATATAGTAAGCTTCATTATAATAGAAACAATAAAAATAATGGAAATTAAGATATATTTTTTAATACATATTCTCAAGTGTTTTCGGAGTATGCACTCTAAATTACTACGTAGTGTTTATCTACATACCTATGTATAAAATGTAATATAATTAAATTCACATACACGATGTAGTTCATTCAAGAAATCCTACTGTTAAGTTTCAGTACACCTGCAATTCATACGAAATACATAAAAAACAAAAACCCAAAAGACAGAATTTGGAAGTGACAAATGTTAAAAAGATAAATAAAATAGTACTACGTCATTCGACAGAGTATAATATAAATACGGGGAACAAAAAAAGGAAATAAAATAAAATGTGTCACCGCGGATAATAATACAGCTACAGTACTGCCGGCATATCATATAAAATATGTTACATATTGTTATTGTTATTGTATAAAATTATGTTTTAACTATTGACCTAACTGCTTTTATAATCTCTTTTACTTGACAAATTTTTATGCAAAATAAAAAACTGGAATACATACAATATATAACGAGTAAAAAATAATGTTCGTTTTTTCATGTATTATTTAGTAGTATTATACTAATTTAGTTCACACTTTCGTATAGAATCATGGTCTATCTACAATTACTTTATTCTTGACCAAGACAATTAATACTGGGATTCAAATTACTATCATTCGAGTGAACCAAATGAGAGAAACGGAAATTGGAATTAGAAATTTGTTCAAAAATGGTTTTTGTTTACATTTTTTTTCATGGTTATTTTGTTTTTATTTTCACAATTGTCTCCAAGTGTATTGAAGTAACTTTGAAAAATGACACGTGTTCAATTTAACTTGATATCGAAAAAGGTGCAACACAAACATTTTTTGAGCTTTTTTTAAGTTATAAAAATTCTTTTATGAAAAAATAAAATAATTTTCACCGTAAAATATAATATATGGTTTTCACTTAGGACAAAAAATAGTTTAATTGATTGTATCTTATCATATTTTGATGTTCTCTTTTTAAATAAAAAGAAAAAAAAGTTGTGTTCTCTTCATATAGTTTTAGATGATTTTTTATTTTATCAAACAGGAAAGATGAAACTTATATTTATTATTGAAAATCTCATTCACGGTTGATTTTTGAATAATATTTACAGTGATTGATACATAATATTTACTTTGAATGAAATAAGTAATACATTTTGTGTGTTCTGACATTTTTTTTTCAATTCATTTACCGACAAATTGGTAATATTAGACTATTAGTATGTTTGAGTAATTAAAATTTATGAATATTCTAAATGTTTATAATTAGTTTGTCAACGCTTTTAAATTATATTAAAACATATATGAAAGTGTTTACATAAAGTTAAAAATAGAAAAAAAAATCTTTTACGTATCATATAACTCATTATACGTAAATAATCAGTATTATCGGATTGTTAATTTTATCTTAAGTTGTACACTAAAGATGTAAAATGTTAAAGGATTTAAATTATAAGTATTATATAACTCTATATTTACCAATTTTGATCAACTATTTTGTTTGTGTTATCATTTTTAGATTTTATTCTTCCGTTTTAATTGCACTTTGGTTATTAACTAAGTTTAAATAGATATGTTATATTTAATGTGTATTTATCTTTAATATGGTGCAATAGTTCAAACTTTTACGTTTGATACATTTTATTTTACTATTTTATTTTTATGTATATTAATATATTAATTTTATATTATTTTATTGTAATGAGTATTTTATAAGTATTCATAATATAATTTATGTATTTTGTAATATTAATTGGAATTTTTATTTTTTTAGATTTACACACAACATATTATCAGAACTTTAAACATGATGTTGAGAGCCTGATGTCATTAACTGAACATTATTAATACTTCTCGTTTTCAGATTTGAATTTGGAAGGTTAGTATTATACTTACAATTATCAAGAGTTATTTAATTTTAGCTATATATGTATATATACATATATAGTTATAAATAATAATAAATATAAATATATATTTATCTTTTTTTTTCTAAACAGCAAAAAATATTTAAATTCTGTAGAATAATAAGATTCGAAAATCGAGGAAAATTTTCAGACGTAGATGATTATAGTTTTGGTTGTTTCGGGAAATTAATGGAACGTCAAGTAGTACATAATTGAACAAATCAATTATTTGTGGCGGTACATTCAGTTCTACGATACGAAGTATGGATTTTACCTTGAATAGGTAGGGATACGTCTTGGTATTTTTAGACAGTTTTGATAAAAAATGTGTTATCAAACATATGGTTAGGTTGTTTTTTGCGGTTGTCTCTGCATCGGTGTGGAGACATGCTGAGGACATAACTGTTCAGGGCCTATAATTTATCTTATATTTTCCTATACTACATTTTTCAAGTTTATCTTTCTATTTCTGTAACATTTCCAAGTGAATAATATAGATAAGTTTACGTACATACATACCGTTTAGAAAAACAGATGTTCTTAAACAGTGTCAGTGTTATAATTTACAAATGATTAAATAGAGTGTTAACAATGTGGTTTAACAATTCTTGTGCTGATTTAAAAGAAGACTAAAATCTAAAAGTAAAAAAAAATCGTTTAAAAATGTACAAAAACATGCTCGATTAGTTGATAATTATAAAACTATTGAGAATGGACGATACATTTATCGATATTTTTAATCAAATTATGAAATTGGCGTGCGATAAAAATAAGAAAATTAATAAGCTCTATAAAATGTAACATTTCATTTGTTATGTGAGGATGTAGGTCGAATTGGTTACTTTAATACAAATTATGTTTCTGATATACTTGAGCGTCTCAGAAAGTTCATGCAATAGCAATAGTAAGATGGATTAAAAATATAATTAACAATATTATATGAAAATGAGCCGCTTTGATGTTGATGACCTCTTTTATAACTCAACGTACAGTTAATAATTTACATATAATTTAATTCGTACATTATCATTATTATCCGTACGTCAGTAGTGAATTCATAGGGAGGAAGGACCAAGAACTCTAGCCCTCTTTGGACTATAATACAATTTAATAAATTCGAAATATAATTTCAAATATTTTGATTTTATTAATATTTAAATTTGCATACCCTTAATCTTGACTTTAATATGGTTTGGGGAACAGATTACCAATACAAGTAGTTTGAAGATTAATTTTAAATGTTTTAATTAAAAACCACGTATATAATAATCACTAATTTTATGAAAATAAAGGATTTTATCAAAAATAATAAGTATTCAATTGTCATCAATAATTTTTCTGATATTGTAACTATAATGTACTAACACATAGACATTATATAATAATACGTTTGTATCGAATACTTTAAAGCAGGGGTCGGCAACCTTTTGAATCACGCGGGCCATATTTTTTTTCAAATGTTTATCAAGGGCCACATTAAAATAAATTTTTTACATATGATATATACTAATAATTGTATTGCTATTATATTTGATTATTTTATATAGAAATATGAGTGTAAAAATATACGAATGTTACTGAAAAAAATTGCTTTTAAGAAAAAAATTAATTTTTTGACAAATTAAACATCATGGCTTACTTTTGATTTCAACGAAAAAGTATAAATCAACCAAAAAATTATTAAAAAAAATGATGTTCATTACAAATTGTTCTTTTTTAGTCGCCATAATGTTTGGATTTGCTTTTAAAATGAAACTATTACAAACGCAAAAAGTCACACGTACGGGCGTAATCACGGTGTAATACTAATTGCTACAAACGCAAAGTAACTATGCCCATAGATTAAATATATTAGATACATACGTATTAAATGCATAAAGTAAATACATTTAAAATTTAAATTTTTAAATTTATATAAGTATATTTAATTTATCCTATGACTGAGTAGTGTAGCCATCATTATCTTCGACTCCGATTAGATAATAATAACAATTCTATAGATTAAACTGACTGTATAACTATATAGAATAAACATCAACTATTAACGATTAGATTAGATTTTGTTTATAAAGAAAAAAGAATTGAATAGTATTGAAAATTGTATGAAAGATTTTATTGAACAAAAATAAAACACAAAAATTAACCACCTTTGTGCGGGCCATAAAAAATTGCTTCGTGGACCACATGAGGACCGCGGGCCGCGGGTTGCTGACCCCAGCTTTAAAGTGTAAATTTCAAACTGTATCAAATCATAAAAGCAGAATAATCCGTATTTAGTAACATGTATATTATATATTATACATATTTTACCATGTAAAAATGAACACAGAATTTTGTAAAATATATCAAAAAATGAAAAATAACAAAATTAAAAAATTAATAAAAACCGATTTTGTTGAACATGGGTTACTATTCATTTATTTGTATTTTCATGAATTTCAGCTTGTATTTTAAAAATGTAACTCTGTTATAAAGTTGCTTAACCAAACTGTTAAGTCTTTCTATGTACTATTCGTATAAATTTAAAAAGAAACACATAGTTGTAAAATCAATACCATTTACATCTAGTATAGAATATAATAAACAATAAAATACTTAAAATATATTAAACTTTTTTCCCTCATTTGAAATAATTCATATATTTTCCTATTGTTAAGGTATTTTTATAATTTTACATTTGAAATAGTAATAAACAAATCTGAAGATTTGTAATTAGATAAATAATGCTTATATTTATTATATATATATATTTCATTATATTATATTATTTTTTCAACGAATATACAAGGATAAAAACGAAATAAAAGTTTAAAATAAGAATAAAATCAACTATGTAGTAAACAGTGGTGGTAATAACACCAAAAAAAGTATAGAACAGGATACAATATGTTATTCAAACATCAAATATTTCATTCTGTATAAAGTGAAAAGTTTAAGTTTAATACTTTACAGTCATTTGAAAAACATATCATATATATGTTATATATATGATAGAAATAGAAAAAAATATTTCTTACGCTTGCAAGATAATACATCTTTTGTAAAACAAATAGAGTTTGAAACAATTATTATGAAACATTAATATTTTATAAATATAAGTTAGAAATAATTTCCTTTAAATTATTAATTCTAATACTATTTTCGTTACTTTATTGGTTTAATTGTTTGATAAAACTTTTTTTTATAATATATATTATAGATTATATAAAAAACTAGAATTTCCAAGTGGTTATTGCTTAAGTAAAATTTATACAAGTATAAAATGTATTTATCATTAATTACAATTAGTTATTTTATTACAAAACGAGCTGTGGCTCCTATAATCTTGTAGCGACTATTTACTAACTATTTTACTAACTATTATGAACGTATTGGAGGAATTTGAAAATCGAATTTTTATTTTTACACTTGAAAGATAGGTTCATATTATAAACTAATTATTTTATGTTTCTTTATTTTCCAAATAAATCTATACTATTGTATTTTTATCTGTACAAGTGTTTGAACAAAACATAAATTACGGGTTGATTTCTTTAACGAAAATACTTCTATTTAGTTAAATCTCATGTTTTGGATTTCCTTGTCTAGATTAACAACTATTAGTCAATTATCCATTTTGTACTTGCCATAGTTTTCAATTTTTTTTCTTCTAACGGAATTTTATTAAATACAAGATTGAATGCATCATTGAAAATTATTACCAAAAATATTTGTTTTTGCAATTTATAAACTAATAATTTAGTGTAAACTTTTTTGATGGTTTTATAATAATAATTTAATTATAATTAAATGATAGTTATTTAGCCATTATATTCAATAGACATTTATAATTAAATAAAACCGTTTATTATCAACCGAATGTACTGAATGGTAATTTGTTTAAATTAATCAATAGAATATGATATGATAAACTACTGACCTGATAAATCAAATTCGTTTTTCTCGTCAAAGTTTATTGGTGTAGGTAAGCACAAAACTATTTACAAGTATTATTATTTGTCACTTAAATTGTTTTCATGTTTTTCTTTAGACATGTAGGTTCATTCATTTTCAACTCTTTACAATTTATTGGACATACTCTTAAAATGTCCCTCGTTCACTGATCCTTTTTACTAAATTGTTGGAGGTTTCTAGTTACAGGGAGTAAACAAGCAATTCGTACACTAGTGATCGAGAAAGTGAAAACCGCATTTCTCGAAATATATTTGTTAATAAAAGAGTACAGAGGTTTCCGAGAAGAGATTAAGCTGGGTTAATACACATTTAACATTTAGTACTATAAGATGTATTATGTAAGTATATTTTATTCACCAAGATTATACATATCTGTAAAGTTTTAATGCAAACTTTCATGCTACTACATTTTCTGATTGACTGGTAATATTGTGTAGCTCTAACTACTATTTTATATTATTTTTCACCCAAAGTTTTTTTTTTTAATTTTCATTTAATCGAGATCGTCCGAATAGCTTTAAGGGTTTTCTAGAGTGTTTGCTTTTATTACTGATCCTTGCTTAACTTGTGTCAGACGCAAAGTTGAAACCCAAGTACCATAATAATAGTAATAATAATAATAATAATAATAATAATAATAATAATAATAATAATA